CCACACACCATACAGTTTGAAGAGCTGCTTGATGTCTGGACCCGTGAACAGGTGCTTTAAAACCTCCTCCACATCTTGCACGGCCTCCCCGTTGCTCACTGGCCAGGACTCCGTGATCACAGCAGACAGCAGGTTGCCGAATTTCCGTAAATCACGCAAAGAAATTCTGTCGAGGATGCTGGTCTGAGACTACCAGACAATTGAGAGAGGGGGAGAGTTAGAGGGCTTTCTTGATTAGCATTTATTTATTCAGTGCCTTGAGTGAACACGTACTTGGGAATTCACATGCATGTCGCTCTGACTTTGACTGTAGTACCCCCAATGTAGCGGCTCTCTTCCCACCTCCTGCCTGTTTCTCCCCACTGTCAGCTTTAAACCTGGGCAAAGGCTTTCCAAAGGAGTGGGTAGCTCCCTGGTGGTCGAATTCTCCTTGTAAGTCTGTCCACCATCTGGCTGAAGGCCGAGCCATGGGGTTAATTTGGTTCCAGGTCTGAAGGCTGTCTACGGGCCATGATCTCATGGGTCTCCGGTTCGGGATTTTAAATAGCCGATGTGAATAACGCACGCACACGCAGCTATTTCAGCGCTGTAATGAGTCGTGCATGGCCTCAAAAGAACAGGTGAGTAAAACATGTGACGCAACTCTTCCTCCAGTAACCGGGTCAGAGCCCTGGAGGCTCACAGTGCACGCATTGAGAAGCCAGTGTGGCAGACACACAGAGAAGGGCCCTTCAGGGGCTGCCCGCAAGGGGGTCTGATTCCAGGCTGCCTGTGAGTGAGAGTCTTGTCACGCTACCCATCCCACTGCCTTCTAGTTGGGCCCCCGACTCATGCACACCCAGCGGCCCTGAGCTCCATGGGGCAGAAAGCTGCCCAGGCCTGCGCCAGCCCCATAGCCTTATGATCCGGAAGAAGATTTATGTTCCGGGGCTGACTCTTAGAAGTGGACAGCCAGATCTTTCTTCCTGGTCCGTCTGGCTTGGGAAGTTCTGCTGAAGCCTGTTCGGCAGCACACAGGCCTCCACTAGACGAGTGAGGGTGGGGAGAGGTAGACAGCATGTGGTGCGCTGGCCAGAACTGACCAGGGGTCTCCTGCAGGGAAACAATTCTCCCAATGAACCAGCCACGCCCTCATCAGCCATCCAGTAGCAGCCAGCTGAGCAGCGTGTGTCAAAGACTGGGTGGAGGACACCAGGTTTCAGAACCACTCCACGAGGCCAGTGAGGGGACGCCCACTCCCCATTCCCCGGTGCCAGCACCAGGCAGAGCGGCCGCTGGTTACCTGGCAGGCCGAGCTCACAGCTTCGACGGCGCACTTCTCAAAGCTCTTTGCCACGCTGCCGTCCAGGCCCGGGGCACCCCAGTTATAGCTGCAGTAGGCCGAGATCTGCAGGAGCGGCTTCTCCTGGGAAAGCAGAGATGCCGTGGGCGGAGCCGGTAGGACACTGTGCGCCCTCCTCCACCCTGTGTCATCAGAGGTCCCCGCCCCATTACTGTCACCTCCTCCCTGCCCCCGGCCCCAGACAGCCAGGCTGACGTGAGAGTCTGTCCTCACATGTGCCGAAAAGGCAGCTTGAAAAGTGGGTCAACTTTGACAAACAAGTGGGTTTCCCAACAAGATCCACCCAATGGTTACCTGTCATGCTAGCTCATATCCTGTCAAAACCAATGTCTGGTGGCAAAATGAAGAGAAAGAGTCAAGGTATTTCCTGGACTATCGTGACCCACCTCTGAAACCTGGGCTGGGATTGGATCACCGAGCCGGGTCAGAAATGGAAACACGGCTTCCTGCCCGCACACAGGGAGGCTTTCCGTTCAAGTGCAGACTCCTATTGTTGCTGCTGTTATTGGTGGTCTGGTATTTATCCCTGCACCCTCTAATAAAAGAGCACCCCAGACTGTTAGTACCTGTTTGAGTCTCCCTTCCATGTCTCCCAGCAATACCTCCTTCCAACCATAGTCCACAGGAAAGTGGATTTCCACCAGTTGTCTCCAGACCTGCAAAACTCACACATCAATCATCATGATAATTATGTGGTTTTGTTAGGGTGACAGGGAAACCTTGGATTGGTTGATTGAACAATGAATCTGATAAACATAGTGTCATTGTACCATACACATGAAAACTGTTGAAATGTCAGATGGTATGTTACATATTGCTACCCGTTTTGTCAGTTTACCACTGGTATTTCAGACTCCAGCATGGTATTTGCCCATGGTGGGCAGATTTCAGTAGAGCTTCCAGTGTAAGAACAGACCGGGAGGAAGGAATTGGCTGTCTGCTTCAGAGGAATTGGCCACGGAAGCCCTAACCAATAGCAGCTGTGCATTGTCTGATATTGTGCCAGGTGAGCCCTTTAGGTTGGAAAGCATTCAAACCCAATTCATACAATTAGGGAAAGAGCTGCCTTCTCAAAGGAGAATCAACCTTAATGACATGGATAGGACAAACCCGTGGAGGCCATCCTTTGCTGATGGAGTATAACTCAAAATAAGAAGAAACAACAAGCATCCATTAGTAATCAGAATGTGGAATGTACAAGGTATGAATCTAGGTGAATTTGGAAGCCATCAAAATGCAATGGAAGACATAAAGATTGATATCCTAGGCCAGGGGTCCTCAAACTTTTTAAACAGGGGGCCAGTTCACTGTCCCTCAGACCCATTGGAGGGCCGGAATAGTTTAAAAAAAAAAACTGTGAACAAATTCCTATGCACACTGCACATATCTTATTTTGAAGTTAAAAAACAAATGGGGCAAAAACACCCGGTGGGCCAGATATGCCCTCGGCGGGCTGCATGTGGCCCACAGGCCGTAGTTTGAGGACCCCTGTCCTAGGTGTTAGTGAGCTAAATGGACTGGTACTGGCCATTTTAACTCAATCATTTGCTTAATATGCCGAGAATGGCAAATTCAAGAGGAGTGGCTTCACAACCATTATCATAAAGAACATCTCTAGATCAACCTTAAAGTATAATATTGCCAATGATAGAATAATACCAATATGCCTAGAGGAAGGGCTAGCTATCACTCAAGTTTATGCACCAATCACTAAACCCAGTGGAGGGTGGGAATGAAAGAATTCTACCAAAATCTTTGGTTTGAAATTGATCAAACATGCAAGCACGATGGGATGGTAATTACTGGTCATTGGAAGAGGAAAGTTGGATACAAAGAGGAAGAATCAGATGTCAAAAAATGTAGCCTTGCAAGATATGACAAAATAAGAATTTATAAATTATCCAGGGTTCATGAGGGAAGGTGGGAGTGGGGTAGGAGGGGAAAAAAATGAGGACCTGATGCCAGGGGCTTAAGTAGAGAGCAAATGTTCTGAGCATGATGAGGGCAATGAATGTACAAATGCGCTTTATACAATTGATGTATGTATGGAATGTGATAAGAGTTGTATGAGCCCCTAATAAAATGATTTTTAAAAAATGTAGCCTTGGTGATAGGAATACATCTGGAGATTGCATGATAGAATTTTGCAAGACCAATGACTTCTTCCTTGCAAATAACCTTTTTTACAACCACATAAATGGTAACTACACACACGTTATCTCACCAGATGAAATACACTCAAATCAGATTGACTACATTCATGAGAAGAGGTGATGGGGACATTCAACATCATCAGCCAAAATAAGGCCAAAGTGTGAACTGTGTAATAGACCACCAATTGCTCATATACAAGTTCAGGTTGAAGCTGAAGAAAATCAAAACAAGCTCACAAGAGTGAAGATATGACCTTCAATACATCCTATATGAATTCAGAGACCATCTCAGGAACAGGTCAAACCATCTCAACATCAGTTACCAAAGACCAAATGAGTTGTGGCATGACATCAAGAACATCATACATAAAGAAAGCAAAAGACCATATAAAGACAGGAAAGAAGGAAAAGACCAAATTGACTGTCGGAAGAGACTCTGAAACTTTCTTTTAAACATTGAGTAACTAAAGCAAATGGAGGAGATAATGAAAGTATAAGAACAACAGAAAATCCAAGCCTCAAGGTAAAGATTAAAGGATTCTATGGGAAAAATTGAACAATGCAATAAGTATCAAAAGAATGTGGAAATAATACACAAAAGTATTATATCAAAAATAAATGGTCAACATCCAACTATTTCATAAATCAGCATATGATCAAGAACTGATGGTATTGAAGGAAGAAGTCCAAGCTGTATCATTGAGATTAGCAACAAATAAAGTTCCAGAAATTGACAATACTCTGGAAGCACTGGAGAGAAAAAAAAAAAGAATACTCTGGAAGCATTCAGTGTATGCCAAGAAATAGAGAAGACTGTTACTTGGCCAACCGATTGGAAGAGATCCACATCTTTGCCCATTCCAGAGCAAGGTGACCCAAAAGAATGCAGAAATTATCTAATAATATGAGTAATATGACATGTACGCAAAATGGTGATGAATATAATTTTAAAATCTTGGCAGCAGTCAATTGACAGCTGCCAGAAATTCATATCAGATTCAGAAGTGTACAACAGGGGATATCATTTCAGCATACAAATGATACAACTTTGCTTGCTGAAAGCCAAGAAGACTTGGAGAACTTGCTGATGAAGATCAAGGACTACAGCCTTCAGTATGAATTACAATACAACTCAATGTTAAGAAAACAAAAATCTTCACAATTGCACCAGTCAACAATGTCATGACACATGGAGAAAGATTGAGGTTGTCAGGGCTTTCATTTTACTTAGATCCGCAACCAACACTTGTGGAAGTAAAAGATACATATTCAAACAACATATTACATTGGGCAAACATGCTACACAAGATATATTGAAAGTGTAAAGGAGCAGAGATGTCACTTTGAGAACTAAGGTGTGCCTGACCCAAGCCATGGTCTAAGCGTGTGAAAGCTGAACCAAAGAGTAAGGAAGGGCTCATGCATTTTAATTATGCTATTGGTGAAGACTACTGACAGCCTTCCAGAAGAACAAGAGGAAGTTCAGCCTGGAGGAAATACAGCCCCAATGTTCTTTAGAAGTGAAGATGGTCAGACTGTGTCTCATGCAAAAGGAGGTCATGCTTGGTAAAGTAGAAGGTCACTGGAAAAGAGGAAGACCCCCCTCCCCACAAGGAGATGGATTGACACAGTAACTGCAAGAACAGGCTCATACATAACAACCATTTTGAAGACGGCTCAGGACCAGGTAGGGTGTCCTTCTGTTGGACATAAGTTCTCCAAGGCGGCAGCACCAAGCCACAGTGAAGACAGAATTCCACCTATAACCCTGACCCTCTACTATGGAGTCTCTTCTCACACCTAGTGACCCCTCGGACAAAGTAGAACTGCCATAAAGTTCCAAAGGCTATCATCTCCATGGAAGCTGATGACCATATCTTCCTCCACAGGAGTGACGGGTTTGAATGACCAATCTTTCAGGTAGTAGCCAAGGGCTTAAAGACTGTACCACTGGGCTGCCTTCCATTAAATATGTAACTATCACAATTTTTGAGGTATACAACATGGCTCAATTTAAAAAGATGAGATTGACCAATAAATCCTACTCATGAAACAAATTTTTAAAATAATACACATTAATTTTTTTATTCCACTGATTTTTATGAAGACAGACCAAGATGATCATACAAATTGTACTGGATTACAAGGATACGATTTTGATCCACTTTTGTCACTAGTGAGCTCACTTAGTGGATAAGTCATGGCCACCCATCCTAGCCTTAAGAATGAAGACTATACAGGCCAGCCCCAATCCCACCTATATGGACACCCCCCTCCCCACCCCAAGAAGAATGCACTACAGAGAACAGCACTGAAACTACGGCTCAGGTCAAGGGGCACTTCTGATCAGAGCACACAGGAGTAAAAGAAGAGGGAAGGAGAGAGTGGATTACATCCTGGCCCACCCAGCCCTGAGGACAATATTCCTGCTTAGAGCAGTCGATGCACAGAGAGGACCATAGGGCCAGCCCCACCACAAGACGTCTTCACTGACCCATTGCGTTATGGGGGACAACACTGGAAACAGTGTGCCCAATCTGACCCCACCACACCAGGCCAAAACAGTAAGGGCGCAGAACAGAGCAGCAAGGGAAGCAAATCAATGAAGTTCCTGAGGAAAACCAAAAATAGACTTTGGAGCCAGGGCGTGGCACCCCATCAGACTCAACCAGAAAGCACTCCTAAAGGTCAACAAACAGACCTGGAACTATTTACAGGCTGTTCTTTTGTTGTCGTTGTTACTGTTTTGTTGCAGGTTTCTTTTGTTGTTTTGTTTTACTTTGTCTTGTTTTTGTGCTTTTTATTGTCTCTGCATGTCTATCTAGATAAGATAGGTGGGATAAACAATCCTGAAGAGATGGGTGGGGGGACACATGGGAAAGATGGAGGCGGGAGAAAGGAAGGGGGTTGCCAACAAACCCAGGGACAAGGGAACAACAAGTAATCTAAAATTGATGGCAAAGTGGGCATAGGATCGCTGATGGGGCTTGATCAAGGGCAATGTAGCCAAGATGAATTACTGAAACCCAAATGAAGGCTGAGCATGATAGTGGGACAAGAGGAAAGTAAAAGGAAATAGAGGAAAGAACTAGGAGGCAAAGGACATTTATAGAGGTCTAAATACAGGCATGTACAGGTGTAAACATATTTATATATAACGATTGGGAAATAGATCTAGGTGCATATATTTATGTTAAGTATTAAGGCAGCAGATGGACCCTGGGCCTCTACTCAAGTACTCTCTCAACACAAGAACACTTTGTTCTAATAACTTGGCATTCTGTGATGCTCACCTTCAAGACACAATCACTGAAGACAAAATGGGTGCATAAGCAAATGTGGTGAAGAAAGCTGATGGTGCCCAGCTATCAAAAGATACAGTATCCGGGGTCTTAAAGGTTTGAAGATAAACAAGCGGCCATCTAGCTGAGAAGCAACAAAGCCTACATGGAAGAAGCACACCAGCCTGTGTGATCATGAGGTATCATTGGGATCAGAACAAAAAATCATAACGATGTGAATGAGAGAGAGAATGGAGTGGAGACCCAAAGCCCATCTGTAGACAATTGGACATCCCCTCATAGAAGGATCCCAAGGAAGAGAAGAGCCAGTCAGGGTGCAGTATAGCACGGATAAAACATACAACTTTCTTCTAGTCTTTAATGCTTCCTCCCCCTCCCCCCACTATCATGACCCCAATTCTGCCTTACAAATCTGGCTAGACCCGAGGATGTACACACTGGTACAAATAAGAGCTCCCAACACAGGGAATCCTGGACAGATAAACCCCTCGGGACCAATAATGAGAGTAGCAATACCAGGAGGGAAAGGGGAAGGTGGGGATTGGACAACAGAAAAGTAGATAAAGGGAGAGAGCAGTTGGTATAAGACATGAAAAAAATAATAATAATTTACAAATTATCAAGGTTTCATGAGGGAGGATGGGGGGGAGGGGAAAATGAGCTGATATCAAGGGCTCAAGTAGAAAGAAAATGTTTTGAAAATGATGATGGCATCATATGTACAAATGTGCTTGACACAACGGATGGATGTATGGATTATGATAAGAGCCCCCAATAAAATGATTTTTTAAAAATGAAGATTGGATTGAACTAGGATCAGTCTATGTAATCACTGTTTCAAATTTTTAATTTTGAAAACATTTTAGCTTACCAAAAAGTTCCATGGATAGTACACATGACTCATATATCCTAAACTAAACGCACCAATAATTAATGTTTAACACATTTGCACTATCACTTCCTCGTTCTTCTGTCCCTTCTGATAAGTAGGTTTTGTGCCAACTTGGCTGGGCCTGGACTTTCAGTGGTTTGGCAGTTAATATGGAGTAATTCCATATAGTTGACCTGACACAATGTAATCAAAGACAATTAGTTGTAAGAAGAGTGGGATAGGATTCAACACTCTTATTCAGAAAAATGCTGACTTGTGTTTCATTGACTATGCAAAGGCATTTGACTGTGGATCATGACAAACTATGGATAGCCTTGAGAAGAATGGGAATTCCAGAACACTTCACTGTGCTCTTGCAGAACTTGTACATGATCAAGAAGCAGTTGTGCAGACAGAAGAAGGGAATATTGCATGGTTTAAAATCAAGAATGGTGTATGTCATGGTTGTATCTATCCTCCACCATTACTTTTCCATTTGTACGCTGAGCAAATAATCCAAGAAGCTGGACTGTCTGAAGATGAGCAGAATAGCATGACTGAAGCAAGGCTGCTGAACTAGCTGCAATATGCAGATGCCACAACCTTTTTTTGCCAAAAATGAAACATCTCGAAGCACTTAGTGATGAGGATCTAAGGCCTTTAGTGTGAGTACACCTCAGTATAAAGAAAACAAAAGTCCTTACAACTGGATCAATAAAAACAGTAAGATAAATGGAGAAAAGTTTGACGTTGTCAAGTATTTATATACCTGGATCCATAATCAACACTCATAGAAACTGCAGTCAAGGACTCAGAAGATTCATTGCATTGGGAAAATCTGCAAAAGGCCTCTGTACAATACTGAATTGTCCAAGTGTCCCTTTGAGGTTTTAGGGGTGCCTGACCCAAATCATGGTCTTTTCAGTTGTCTCTTATACATGTGGAAGCTGGGTATGAGTCAAGTTATGAATCGTGATGTATTTGAGCCATGCTGAAGAATACTGAAATTGACCTACTGTGCTGCAGTAAAAAACCTCCTACTATAGGCATGTATATATGTAAATATATTAATTTATAATGAAAGGGATAGAGGCCAGTGTACATTTATTAGTTAAATATTAAAATAACAGATGGACTTTGGGCCTCTACTTAAGGCCTCCCCCAACACAAGAACACTTTGTTCTAATAACTTGGCACTCTTTGATATCTAGCAGGGAAACAAAGCCCACATGGAAGAAGCACACCAACCTGAATGATCAAGAGGTGTCAGCGGGATCAGATATCAGGTATCAAAAGATCCAAACCAAACAATTATATCGATGCAAATGAGGGGGATTGGAGTGGAGACCTAAAGCCCATCTATGCACAGTTGGATATGTCCCCACAGAAGGGTTAAAGGAAGTGACGATACAGCCAAGGTAGAGTACAGCACTGACAAGACACACGTCGTCCTCTAGTTCAGCGGTTCTCAACCTGTGGGTCTCGTGCGGCCCCTTTGTGGATCAAATGACCCTTTCACGGGGGTCGCCCAATTTATAACAGTAGCAAAATCAGTTATGAAGTAGCAACGAAAATAATTTTATGGCTGGGGGGGGGGGCGGGGGTCACCACAACATGAGGACCTGTATGAAAGGGTTGCAGCATTAGGAAGGTTGAGAACCACAGCTCTAGTTCCCGAATGCTTCCTCCCCTCCACTATCATGACCCAGTTCTACCTTATTAAATCCGGCTGGACTGGAGCATGGACACTGGTACAGATAAGAGCTCTCCACACATGGAATTCAGGACAGATAAACCCCTCAGGAACAGTAGTGGGAGTAGTGATATCATGAGGGTAGGGGGATGGTCGGGGATCGGGAAGGGGGAGAAAGGGGAGGGGGAACCTATCACAGGGTTGGATATATAGCCCCTTCTCCTGAGAGGGACGAATAACAGAATTGTGGGTAAAAGGAAATAATGGACAGTGTAAGGTAAATGAAATAATAATAACAATATATAATTGATCGAGGACTCATGAGGGTGGGAAGGGAGGGGAGGGAGGGGGAAAAAGAGGACCTTATACCAAGGGCTCAAGTAGAAAGAAAATGTTTTGAAAATGACGATGGGAACATATATATAAATGTTGGCTGAACCTCATGTAAAATACAGTTGATATATGGAACATTATAAGAGCTGTACAACCCCCCAATAAAAGGATCTAAAACAAAAACCTCCTACTTTCAGCAAAGTTTACCTGAATTTCCTCTGGATAACAGAATGACTTCTTTAAGATGTTGGGCTTCTGGAGCATTTTCTTGGTGAAAGTCTGCCGAAGCCAATGCCTGGTCGCAGCAAGGGCTCCCTGGAGCACTGCTCTGATGGGCTGCTGTCCAGGTGCACTGCCCTGGGCTTCCTCCGTGTGCTGTTATCATGTAAGAGGGGACGTTTTCATTGTTCTCACGTGCAGTGGGCTCAGTTCCAAAAGAGATGTTTCACTCCAGCTTGTCCAACATTTCAGGATGTGCCACCAACAGCTCCTTTTAAGCTGTCAGGCCTTTCAGGTTGGTAAGAACCCTACATTTTAAAAGCACTTAAAATTCCCATAATTCTGGGTCTTCATTGTAAATGTGGGAGGTATGGGGAACATAGGGAGGGTTAGAATGCCATTTAATTTTCTGGATGAATTTCCCAGGGTTTTGATAAAAACAGAGGTAGTCCAGCCTGCCCAGCAAGCACATGGCCTTGGGCTTTGGCTAGTGTGTGGGGCTGACATCTTACCACCGTGGTCCGTGAGCGTCTTAGAATCTTCAGTTCAGTAGCCGTCCCCTATATTTGGCTCACTTGCCGAGACCCACAGTCAGACACTGTGCTGTGGTGTCATCTGGACTTAACTAATGCTGCCAAGCATGCAATGCTAACTGTATGTGATGGTCTTCCCGCTCAGACAGTCACTGACGGTCTTCTACCTCATAAATGCTTCGCAACTCGCCTCTGGGCCACCCCACCCCACAGCTAGCTCTCTGCTCCCTCACCATTCTTAAGGCTCTAGGCTGAACCTCATGTAAAATAGGCCAGTCACTTTTTCACCCTATGTTCCTTGAAACCATGGCCTCCTGAAGGAGCAGCCTTGCAACCGGCAAACATTACAAGATCAATTTTTTTCTCTTTCTCCCCTTCCCCTACAACATGAGCCCTAGCCAAGCCCTAACCATGATGGGCCCTCTTTACACAGGATTGGACTCCTCTCCAGGGTTCCAGCTGCTATTGGATGCCCAAGAGGCAGCTCCAACACGTGAGCAAGTCAAACTCGACTCTTTCTCCTGATGACTCCTGATGACTCAAACTATGTATCTAGTACCAAATTCAACCCTTCCTCATGAAAACTCAAGTGTCCACATCTATGACCGCATGAAATCCATCCTCCTTACAAAACGAATTACAGTTGTAAACCAAACTACCATTTCTGTTGACAATTCACACTGCACATCTAAGTCGACTCCGCCATTCCTCGTCGCAACTCAGACTACACAACGAAGACCAGACTTAGCCCTTCCTTCTGCCACTCATACTACCTGTGTAAGATTGACATTAGCCCCTCAAAATTACACCACTAAGGGCAAACTCTGAAATTCCTGCTGACGTCTCATACTCCGTGTGTGACTCAAACTCGGTCCTTCTTCTGACAACTCACACTGCACATCTAAGATCAAACCCAGCCCTTCCTCCTCACAGCTCAGAATGTATGCTCACCCCCAATAGAAGAACATACCTCCATATCAAACTCAGCTCTTGCTCCTGAAAATGCCAGCGCTATGCCGGAGAGCAAGCTCAGTCCTTCCTCTCGGCAACTCACACTGTATGTCTGAGGCCAAACTCAGTTCTTCTTCCTCACAACTCAAAGCAGATATCTGGCCACAGTTCAAATGACACCTGAATGAGCACAGGCAGCCTTCATTCTGACAGTCCAAACTACCCGTCTACATCAAACAACCTGCCTGTGGGGTGATCAAGAGACCCCCCAGCTTTGTCTCCCCCAAAGACATGCCACCCTTTAGGGACTTTTTGCCAGCATATGGGGGAGGTCAGATGCTTAGAGACATCCTCCCTGAAGGCAGTCAGTTGCCAGACTAAGGTAGGACAATGAGCTACTTCTCCCTAAAGACTTGTAGTCATTGATTTGGTTCCTGCAGGTGGAGTTCATACCCTACTGATAATGGTGCCAGGGAACAGGTCAAAAGGGCTCAGTGACATCCAAAGATAGGCTGCCATCCTGAATCTAGGATCCGCCCTTCTTGTCACACTATACCCCCAATCCCTCCTCTTCCTATTGCGTGTATACCCCTAGACCACCCTCTTCCATTACTGTATTACCTACAGCACAACCCTTTCCTGTGACGTAGGTCTTCACCTGTAATTAGGGGGTTTGGATGTCCCCAGAGAATATAAAAGCCTTGGTTAGCATTAAATCTCTCGCTCTCTCCATGTGGACCACCAAGTGAGGCTGAGGTAAGCATTGCTACTATGAAAAGTGTCTGACTCCATTATCTCTCTCTTCTATTGGTCATGCTCTCTCTGACTTTACTATCATCTTTACTTATTATCGCCGTGCAATTGCGCCTACCGGACCCGTGATGATGGGCTAGGGGCTGGCTTCCCCTTGCACTGCCCCCTTGCTAACAACTCAAACTATTCATCTTACTCCAAATTCTGCCCTATCTGCTGGTGTCTGGGGGGACCTGAGCTTCCTCTTGTGGCCACTTACCCCTTAGGATACCACTACCCACATAACCACTAAAGCCAAAGCTGAAAGTGTCCTCTTGTCCCTTCCCTCACCAAAGCCCTACCTAGTAACCGGACAACTCCTGTGGCTATTGCTGCTAAACAGCCCTCACCTGTATGTCAACAGTGAGGCTTCTCCTGGCCATCAGCTACCTGGTATAAATAGCAAACCCAGATCCTCTCTGCTGTGTGCTCCCACTGACTTGGGATGAGCCATACATTCACGTGTGCATAGCCTCTCCCTTCCCAGCCTCCCCACTAAGGAAGTGAACTCCTTCCCACTCACTGCGTGTTCTCAAAGCTGAGAGCATCACCAGCAGCAAGCAAGTCCTCAATAAATACAAGTAGTCCCCTCTATGAAATGCTTCTGTAATGGCAACTCCATAATAAGTCTCATCTCATGAAAATCAAATAGCTCAATATTTCTTCAGTTTTTTCTATTACTGCCTGTTACTGTCAGTATCTTTGTAAATCTGATCTTTGGGAGTTAGCATTATTATTGCATTTTGTGAAGACTGTTTTTATGAACATAATTTGGAGAGCTGGCGTAAGACTGACAGCATCGCTAAGTCCTCTGCTGCGACACTGTATGCAGCACATAGTCCCAGTGGTGCGGTATGAAAACAAGGTCTTTAGAAGTCTGTCACAACTCTGACCCTCTGCGAGCCGGGGACCGCCTGCCCTGGATAACGGAGCCACCACGCCACCTCGTTTCAGGAGCCCTAGACCTGGGAACCCGCTCGGCCTCCCTCGTCCATGGAGGCTGCTTGAAGCTCCACAGCTGTCCTGGGGGCGCCATCACGTGGCTTTGTGCCACTTACCACGAGAGGTTGAAGCGCAACGATTCTGCTAATCATCTCTGCAGACAGGACGGGGATCTCGTAAAACTTTTCGCTTTTGGTGATCTCACAGACGGTTTCGTGAAGCTTCAGGCAGATGGTCAAGTAGGACTGAAAGACGGGACCCTCCAGAGCCCTGCCCGCAGAGAGTGGAGAGAGATGACTGGCCGCGGAGAGCCGAGGACACAGCGCTCATTGCAATGACAAGCCCCTTCCCTTCAAATACTAACAAGTGAGACATTCATTCACACTCTGGCTATGCTGAGCTGCTTAACATGAGGTTTACAGTTTGACCCCACCCATCACTGTGTGGGAGAAAGTTGGTCACAATCTTTGGAAACTCTATGGGGCAGTTCTACTCTGTCTCGTGGGGCTGCTATGAATCTGAATCAGTACAAAAGTCAGGAGTTTGCTTTTGATTTAACCCAAAGGAATTTATTTGGCCTCACACAGAGTAACTTCTGAGACTCCTCATCAGGCTTGAACTTATGACTAAGTTAAAACAGAAACAAAGATCCTTTGGTTCCCCTCTATAGTCTGAACTGCTCTTAAAAAAGCAAAGAGCAGGTTAGACTATTTCCACAGGCATCCCGTACTTGAGAAAAGTAAGGCGTGCCCATTACTAAAGATAAAATGACTACCTAAGCTTCGAGGCACGGAAAGCCCCAGAAAGACAAGGCAGGCAGGCTGAGAAATGCCGAAGAAGACATGTATCAGGCACAGAATTTCTCGGATTCCTGGGGCGGGTTTCACGTTCATTGACTGACAGCAGCAGCATTGAGCCAGTGCGGTGTTGAGAACTGGGTTTGGATGTGGCATGAAAAAGGGGTTCTAGGCTCACCTGGTAAACCAGTGTTAGGTGAGGCCCTTGAACAACTGTGCTACATGAGTGGCAGTTCCTGCGGCTCTCCGTCTCTACAATGTCCCTCCTAAAAGCCCATGGCCAATGAGTCAGTTCCAACCCCTAGAGATCAAATGTGTAGGACGGCCCTGCCCTGTAGGGTGGCCAAGGCTATGAACCCTTCTGTCACAAGTGGCAGGCAGGTTCTAAATGCTGGCCTTTTGGTTGAGCAGCCAAGCACTTAACCACTGCACCACCACGGCTCCTTAATGTCCCTTTAGAGAAGTCACAGGAAGAAATGATTTCAGAAAATCTCATAAAGCTCCCTTTGTATTTATCCTCCTGAGCTGACCTCACTCGCACACAGAGACAAACGAAAGAAAGCAGAACCCACCATGAACACAGAGCAGGAGGACAGTCACTTAAAGTGAAGTGGAAATAAGTGCACAGAAAAGACAGACCAGATGGAAATTAGACAAAATCTTAGTAGCTCACATCTCTTCCCTTCCCTCTTTTAAAAACTGGGATATTCCAACCAGTTCAAAAGAAAAGTGGGATATTTATGCCCTCTCCTCACTTAGCAATTTGTTTACATTCTAAAGGTCTTTTTATGACACTGGAATTATGCAAAAAAGGAGGATGACTAGATTATTATATTAAATGCCAAATTACATTATCATCTAATTACCAAATTACATTTTACATAACTGCTAAATTATATCATTGCTGAGCTGCCAAATTTTATCATTATATAACTGCCAAACCACTATTGACACGTAATCCTAACCACCACTTACACACTCACTGCCATTAAGTTGATAGTGACTCTACAGGGCAGGGTGGAAATGCTCCTGTAGGTTTTCAAGACAGTAACTGTTTACTGGAGTAGAAAGCCCTATCTTTCTCCTGAGGAGCAGCTGGTGGTTTTGAACTGCTATCCTTACGGTTAGTAGCCCAATGTGTAACCATTACACCATCACAGCCAGTGTTATTCTAACCTTGCACATTGGCATCATTACTGTCATACATACATAGCAAATGCACAACCTAGTCATATTGTAGTTTTTTGTACTATTCTACAAATTTGAAATGTTGGGTAAGGAGATAATCGATAAGTAAGAGAAAGTGTATTGATTTGTGACCTCACTAATTATGACAGCAAATGTGGGACATTGTCAATCAAGTAGGGAGCAACCAGTGAAACCCTTGGAGAGGTGGGTGAGAAAGACAACATTTGGCTTTTCTACTTACGTGTTCAAATTAGCATGCAGCAAGGCCAACAGCATTTTAAAGATTTTCTCAAAACACTAGGGTGGTAAAGAAAAAATAAGAACGATTTCATCTTGATGTCATTGTCCTTGTTAAAACAAAGTTTAAAAACCCAGTATCAATGAAATATCAATTTCTTTCTAGAAATAAATTTCAGAGTCCTAAAGTCCTAGCCTTAGATCTTTCACAAGCCTAAAATGTTTGCCATTTCCGTCGCCCTCCCCAAATGTGAAAGAAATATTAGCAACTCTGAAGTATGTCAACCCTCTCATTACTGCGTGTGCTGTTCCATGACCACAAGCAACAACATGCTATTGAGTAACAACTTGGCTGTTAACTGGAAGGTTAAACAATGCCTACTCCGGTCGACACCTCAGAAGGAAAACCTGAAAATCTGTTTCTGAAAAACGAGGTACTGAAAACCCGTGGATCATACTTTTCTAACACACTGTGGGTCATCATGGCTTGGAGTTGGCTTGATGTCCACTGGTTATTATATTGACTGAAACAAAATGAATTTAATCTAATCAACTCTTTCGCACTGCACATGCTGACCTCTGCTAAACACTTCACCCCGTCAGCTTTTCAGAAAAGAAGAATCACAAAGTCCACTGGTAAGGACTCAGTAGCCCATTGCAGACCACATACCTCGTGTTTGCTCTTCGAGATTTCCTGGAGCCCTTGAAGGCGGTAGTAAACCCCCTGGAAGCACTCCAGGAAGCGAGCAGGGGACGCGCTCAGGTATTCAGCTGTGATCCTCATGTAGTCACTCAGGTCCCACAGAGGCAGCAGACTGAACCAGGACCGGAACAGACGGTCATCCACTGTCAGCAAACGCTGGTGCTTTTCCATGAGCTTAAGAAGAAAAGGGTTCCTGGCCAAGAGAAACAGGCCCAGAAAAGAGGGCACCCACAGGTCAATGAAGTCTGCTGAACTGAGGTTAGGGAACGTGAGGGGTGTGCAGAGTGCGGACCTTCAGCGTCAGCTCCCTGTCGAGTAGGGAGCACAAACGAGCACCTCGGCAGAGGGGTAAACAGCGCAGCAAGAGCTCACCGAGGACTGAGCACGCTGGTGAGCGAGTGGCTGTGCGTCCTGGACCAAAGCAACCACGTGAGCCAGTGAACCACGCCGACTGCAGCGGGGCGCTGCCGGGGCACCCCCAAATGGTGACAGCACGAGCAGGGTGCTGCTGAAGTGACAGAGGCTATTGCAACCGTATTGAAACAGAGGCTACAAAAACATGAAAAGGTCCAGTGACTAGGAAAAGGCGCTTGTGCCTAAGAGACTGCATTTTTTAGCTTTAATCTCTAAAGACTCCAATATTAGCGAAGAAAACGAGAATTTAATTTAGCTCACTCTTTTAATCCCTCACAACTATAAGCCGACTCTTAGTGGAAGTGTTGTTGGGTGCGGCCAGACTGGCTCCGACTGAGAGCAGCTGTCTGTCCTCCGCATCTGCACAATCGTCCTGCTGTTGCAGGCGCTGTGTTGGTACATCTTCTTGGAGTCTCCGCCTGTCTTTGCTGACCGTATTTCAGCAGTATGATGTGCTTTTCCAGGGACTGATCTCTCTTGATAACGTGTGCAAAGCACACAAGACAGTCTCTCCATCCTTGCTAAGGAGGATTCTAGTGCTACTTCTTCCAGGACAGATATATTTGTTCCTTTAGCAGTCCACAGTACTTCCAATATTCTTCACCAGCACCACAATTCATACACATCTATTCTTCTGCACTCCTCCTTATTCATTGTACAGCTTTGACATGCATATTACATGATTGCAAATAACATGGCTGAGTCCCCAAAGTGGCACCCTTGTTCTTCCACACCTTTGAGAGGGCTTATGCGGCCGATTTGCCCTGTGGAATGCATCGTTTGGTGATTTGACTGCTGGTGGTGTGGACCTAGCAAGATGAAATCCTTGGCCACTTCGATCTTTTCTCTATTTATCATCATGTTGTGTATTTATCCACTTATAAGGATTTGGGGTTTGTTTGTTTGTTTTCACGTTAAGCTGTCATCCATATTAAAGGCTGCAGTCCTCCATCTTCATCAGCAAGTGCTTCCAGTCCTCCTCACTTGCAGCACGCCAGGCTGGATCCCGGCGCACCGCAGGCTGTTCCTGAGACTTCCTCTGACCCTGACGGTGTGCTCATGTTCATTTATCCAGATTCTCAGCTTATTTGCTCAGCATCCAGGCTGAATAAATAGGGCCCGCGGGGTACAAACCTGTCACATCACTTTCCTGGATTTCAGGTGTGCCTTTGTTTTCTTTAAATGACTGCCTCTTGGGTCACGTACAGACCCTGTTGGATCAGGGGAGAGTAACAGGGGGCAGACAGGACCTGGACTTCTTCCTTTGATAAAATACAAAGTTAATGGGGACTGTTATCTCTTCTTGAAAAAGAACATAAGTATGAATGTTTTAATTTAGTTTTTCTTATTGTATTTACTGTAGATACAGTATCAGGAGAGGCAGATTTCTGGAGAAGGACATCACATTGGGTAAAGTAGAGGAGCAGCAGGAAAGAGGAAGACCCTGGAACTGACCGGCACAGCGGTGGCAAACAATGAGCAAGTTTTATGTTTAAATTTGATTTGTCCTTTTATTTCTTTTATGATGAATTTCATGTATCTGCTTGACTAGGCAGTGTCTAGACTAGTTGCTATTCTGTAATATGACTTGATGCAATGCAATATAATTGTAGGTTTCCTTACAATATGATCTACCTTCAGTCTACAAATAGTCTGGCAAACCTGCTCATATATATAAGTCATATGTCCAGAAAGTGAAGATGCAGAAACGAGCTGAATTCCTAGATAATTAATGAGATAAAATTCAGAACAGTCGTTAAATGGAGACTGTCTTGGTTATCTCGTGCTCCTCTGACAAACGTAGCTCAAGTGGGTGGCTTTCACCAACGCATTGTTCTCTCATGGCTTAGATGGCCGCACGTTCAGGTTCAGAGTACCAGCTCTAGGAGAAGGCTTTCTCTCTGCGCGTCCAGAGGAAACGCACTGGCCTCCTTTCAGCATCTGTCAGCCTGGTGCCTTCAGGATCTCTCTCTGCATCTTGGTATCAATCTTCCCCAGGATCTAGCAGCTTCACAATACATGGAGCCGGGTCAAAAAGACCTGCTCTTCTTTCTTGGTGGTAGTAGACTCTCTGTACATTTCTCTCTCCTTTTGCCTCGTGTGTGATAAAAAGGGTGCTTGGGCCATGCTGCAGAGAAACTCCCCTTGCCTTCGATCAGGGCTGTGGTGGGATTAAGGGTATTCCATCTTACCCTTAACCCACTTGTTGGTTTCTCTCGTTAGCTCACATAATAGGAGATCCTCCTGTAACTACCCCATTACATCACTGTCTGTCTCTGAGACGAATGTCTTGGAAAAGTTAGCACGTAATTTGGAGGAGCACAATTTAATCCATACCTAATAAGGTAGGTATATATTTCCCGAAGTGAAAACTTATTCATAAAATACTATTAAGTAAAAAAAAAAACATTTGTGAAGCAGAATGCTGGTGTTAGGTGCCATTGATATGATTCCAACTCAAAGCGAACGGTGTAACCAGAACGACACACTGCTCAATCCCAAGCCATCTGCCAACTGTCCTTATGTGTGAGCCCATTGTTGCAGTCCCTGTCCACGCATCTTGTCAAGGCCTTCCTCTTTGCTGAGGTCCCTCTACCAACTCCAAGGACAGGTCTCTCCTGACAATATGTTCAGAGTGTGTGAGACAAAGTCTCGCCATCCTTGCCTCTAAGGCAGTGGTTCTCAACCTTCCTCATGCCGCGACCCTTTATTCCAGTTCCTCATGTTGTGGTGACCCCCAACCATAACATCATTTTTGTTGCTACTTCATAACTGTAATTTTGCTACTGCTATGAATTGGCAACCCCCGTGAAAGGGTCTTTTGAGCCCCAAAGGGGCCACGACCCACAGGTTGAGAATTGCTGCTCCAAGGAGTATTCTGGCTGTACTTCTTCCAAGACAGATTTATTTGTCGTTTTGGAAGTTCACAGAACTTTCAGTATTCTTCATCAGCACCATAACTTGAATGCATGGATTCCTCTTCGGTCTTCCTTATTCGATGTCCAACTTTCACATGCATAGGAGAGGACTGAAAATACCAGGGCTTGGGTCAGGCGCACACTAATTCTCAAGCAACATCCTTGCTTTTCAACACTGTACAGAGGTTTTGTGCAGCAGATTTACCCAATGCAATGTGTTGTTTGATCTCGTGACTGCTGATTGTGTTTCCAAGCAAAATCAACATCAACTACATTTTTTAAGCACCTAAAACATTCAATTGCCCAAAGCATGCACTTGGATAGAAGCCTAGACATGCATCTGCCACAATGTGGACAACGGTGATGGTCTCTGGGAGCTGGTCAAGTTTGCATTCTTATTCTCACTAGGTGTCAAAGCTTAAAGAAGCATTATCACTCCCATTAATAGGCACCCATTACAGGTCCACCCAGGGTGCTCAGAAGCACCCTTTCTGACGCATTATCACAAGAATGACGGTAGAAGGGCGTACTTACTGGCCTGATCTTTTCTCCCGGAACTCAGAGAAGCAGAGGCCCTCAAGGGCTGCCCACGTGTCCTCAGGAGGGATGTCCTTCCCTTGCGGGGCCAGCCCCACACAGTGGTGGAGCACGGGGAGCGTGAGGATCCAGAAGTCTATCCTTCTGTTCATGCACAGCTGGCACAGGTTTACCAAGGATGTTCTGCAGCTAGAGAGGGAAGAAGGTGTGCCACTGTGAGCTGAGCGTGGCAGGGCCCTGAAGTCGCACCAGGAAGGTGGCGTTGTGTGCCCAGAGCGCGGGGCGCGTGATGGCTGCTAATATGTAGGAACCCTACCAGCAAGAAAGTGGGGGCCAGGTATTCTCAGCAGGTTGCCTGGGATATATGGGGTATCTTTGGGACCCACCCCAATGTGTCAGGCACTGAAGGTGCTAACACACTGAAGGCCCACAACAAACTATGAAGAACCAATTAAGGATATTGAGACACAGAGAACCTAAGCGAATTTTTAGGGGTACAAGTGGCAGAACTGGACAGTCCACCAATGATAAACCAGAAGAGGAAACAACTCCTTAAATATAAGGGCCAAACCTATAGGCAACCTATGTCATCCTTCTTACAATTACAATATATTAATTGCTTCTTCACACGTTGAAATAATTGTTTGTTCTTTTTGTCCAATTACATGTCATCATTTATTCTCTTTTCAATATGTGCATTGTTTGTTGTTAGCTGCCTTTTGTATGTGTGTGTGCGTGTGTTATTTATTTATATTTTTGTTGCTGCCTTTATGTCAGCCCATAATGCAAGGGTGAACTCATCCACAATGAGATTGCACCATGTGATCTAGAGAGTTTTTATTGAGTCATTTTCAGAAGTTGGCCACAGGATTTTTCCTAGTCTGGAACAGTCTGGAACGTCCACTTACACACAGACGGTGGCGATTCAGGAGGTGCCCGGCCAGGAAGTGATGCTAGGTCTGTCTTACGCCAGCGAGGATTCTACCACTGAACCAACACTGCCCTCTGTATGATATGTAGCAAGTGTTTCGTGTTTGCAAAACTAAGAGGCAGAGGACCAAGTAAGATTACTCCCCAGAGAAGGGTACATAACCTTATTCTTAAGTTTAAATCAAACACAGCTGCATGAAACACGATACAAAGACCCTGTAGTCATCAGAATTCAACTCAAGTTTGAATATGGACCCCCCCACCATGGAAACTGCAAGCTCCATTGGAACAAGCATCCCCTCACTGAGCACAGAGCCCGAGCCTCAGGAACTCACCCAGGGTGGAAGGAGAACTCTGTCTCTTTGCTAAGGCGTCTAGTGAGACTTCCACAGACAACACACGGCACACGGAGGTTCTTCATGACACCCACGGGGGGGAAGCAGGCCATTCGGCGGGTGATACAACTGAACACA